TGTGCCAGGACTCTGGATACAGGGTAGCATAATATAGCATAAGTATTCAAGGAGGCTGATTGCTTAAAAAATGGAAATCTAGATTAAAGTTGATGTTGCAGAGGAAAGGAAGTTTTCTGAGGGGGTTATTTTATTATTTATTTATTTGTTTGTTTGTTTATCTAGTTCCATAATTGAATCTTTCTTGGCACTTAAAACATCTCAGTCAGTGTCATTCAAATTTGCACTATTTTTAAGTTTGATCTTTTGATGAGGCTTTGTGAGACCTGCTGAGGGGGCCTTTCCAGAGCTGCCAAAGGGGGGGATGACTGAAGTTTGAAAACTTGGAAAAAGAAGATGATTTGAAGCTACCCGTGACCTACAGGGAAGCAGAGTGAAGAGGGGAGGTTGGGGGAATGGAACCCCTTTCAAGGAAACAGATTTAAAGAGTATGTAAAAGTGTCTGTCAAGGCCTTAAAATAAGTCTGTGAAGGCAGAGGGTAAGAGGAGTGTGGCCAGGGGACCCACTTAATCCCTAAAGCCAGGCTCCGACTTCCTGGGGGTTAGCACTGAAGCAGGTTATAAATTCAGGCATTCAAGTATCTGCAGGAAGTGTGTTCCAGTGGCCACTGTGGCTTCAGCACCCGGTGTCCAGGGGGTACAAGTTCACAGTCTGGCTCATGAGCAGTTAGAGAGAGGAAGGGGTGTGTGTGGCATTGCCTGAACTGGGTTTATGTGCCAAGACTTTCAGAGCGGGGATTTCAGAGAGTTTCTGAAGGGAAGTCATAGCCTGGGCAACTGCAGACCCGACTCCCTCTCAACCCTCACCCCCCACCCCCCCACCCCCCACCCCCCACCCCCCCCCCCCCGCCCAGACATTTACTAAAAGGAAGGACTGTGCTTTTCTCCAGTGTGCTCTGGTAGCACTTTGATTCCTTGGTTTTTAATTCTAACTTCCTCCACTGGCACAGTAACAGATTTAGAGGACAATTTGCTTTCGACGTGCCCATCCTATTCCAAAATGCCCCCGTTATTTTAGGAAGCCCTACCCTTCTCCTCCTGAGCTCTTTCGCAGTTCTTCTGGTGGGTAAGTCCAGGAGGTATGGTCCTTCCGGGAGTCCAGTCCTGCAGAGGTCACATTCTCTGTGTGATGGGGATGGGTGGGAGGGGACGGTCCCCAGCGTTTGTCAGTAGCATATGCATTGGGTTGTGCTGACTGCACTGGCAGGCTTGTCAATTTTCACCCTGGGAAATTAGCAACAAAGCCTGGATCTGTCTCGTGGCTGCTTTTGCACTTTCCGAGGGCGGCTGTACTTGACTGAGCTGCAGAACAGACAGTGGGGGGGGGGGGGAGAGAGAGAGAGAGAGAGAGAGAGAGAGAGAGAGAGAGAGAGAGAGAGAGAGAGAGAGAGAGAGAGAGAGAGAGAGAGAGAGAGAGAGAGAGAGAGAGAGAGAGAGAGAGAGAGAGAGAGAGAGAGAGAGAGAGAGAGAGAGAGAGAGAGAGAGAGAGAGAGAGCGAGCTAGAGAGAGAGAGCAAGCTAGCAAGCCAGCAAGGGAGCCAGGGAGCGAGCTAGCAAGCGAGGGAGCCAGCTAGAGGGAGGGAGAGAAGAGCGGGAGGGGTGGGGGCGAGAGGTAAATACTCTTAAATCGGAAGGGAGCTGCCTCCACTGTGGTCTTGACAGGCGCTGCCTGGGCTCCGTGGCGCTGTAATAACTGGGTGACCTTTTCTTGGGCTGTATTATGACTGGCTGGGAAGGGATTGCATTTTGCGGCTGAGAGTCAGGGCTTCCTTCAGCTCGGGCTCCTCGCCGGCTGGCTGCTGGGGTAAGTTGTCTGGAGCCAGGACCAAGAGAGACATCCCCCCCCGGACTGCAGTTGCCTAAAAGAAGGACACCTGTGGCTCGCATGCAGTCCACACTGGTACTTGGCGGATCCTGGAGGACCTCATTATTTTAAACTTAAAAAAAAAATAGAGATCCACCCCCCTTTTTTTTCAAACAATGTTTCTTTTTGACCTTTCCCAAGGAGAAGCGCTACCAAGCAGCCTCTGTGCTCACTGAACACCCTCCCCTGTATCGCTTAATTGAGAAGGTAAGTGAGAGGCTGTGTACACACGCGTCGGCTTATTTGTGCTGTGTGTGTCTCCGGGTGCGCGCGTGCGTGTGCGGATGTTGGGTGTTTTTTTTCTTCTTCTTCTTCTACCCCATCCTCTCCCAATGAAGCATAAAGTAAAGCGGCACCCGAACCATCCCCACCACCACCACCGCTGCAACTTTCACTGGCTGCAGGTCTGCAGAGATGATTTTTGTTTGTTTGTTTTGTTTAAATCATGGGAGGCATCATTATTTTTATGATTAGACATGAAATAGATGCGGGGCGGAAGATGAGGATGCCTGAGGAAGAGGGGGATCGTGCGGCTGCAGCGCGACATCTCAAGTAGGAGTCCAGAGCATAATAGACAAAGTTCATTGGGAGCTTGGCAGCATTCAGACACCCTAACTCCGGAAGAGAGGTTGAGACAGTTTGCAAAGATTTGGGGGTGGGGGTGCTTCTAGACTAAGGGAAGTGGTGTCAGTCTCCGGTATTTTCTCAGACCTCTCCATGCCTGACTGTTGAAATTCATGCCCTCCCCAAAGAAAGAGTTGAGATTACAACCTTGTCCACGTCTCTGCTTCTACCCAAGGCAGCCTTAATAACAAAACACTGCTTCTATATGTTGCAAAAGTGAGTATGTGGGGGCGTGCAAACAGGAGGCAAGTGTCCAGTAGAGGCAGGTTCCTTGGATCCAAGTGCCTGTATCCTAACAGGTCTAGAGATTCAGCACATTTTAACCGGGGCTACTCAGATTGCTGTTATGAAATGCAAGTCAGATTTATGATCTTTTTCATACCGAACACGATATGCTATGCTAACACTGCGTGTGACGGTTTAATCAAATCCATTTGTTACCAGGAAGCTAAAAGGGGCCGCTGGGATTTTAGGATTACAGACAGAGTTAGGGAAGCATGTGGCTTTGTCATTCGCCATCATTTTACACGTTCCCTTGTCCCTTCCCCCACCGCCTGCCTCCCTCACCACTAGACCCTAGCTCCGAAAGTGGCCTCACAATAGTGAATCCTCGGCCCTGTAAGCTGCTCACCAGATCCACGCTTGGGCCCCAAATCCAAAAGTGACTCCCCTCTTCTACTTCCTGCCTCTGGGCTTGGTGCTCCATGCGAAGCTGCAGCGGCTCAGGCACGCCTAAGTCAACTCATGCAGAAACAGGAGAAAAGTTTTGGTAAGGTTACAGTCTATCATAGATACACTTTCTCGGGCGCTCGGCACTCGTGGCTAGCTCCAAAGCCTGCCAGCTCTTCTGTTGCTGAAGATACGAAATATTATTGCTGCTGCTGCTTTTAAAGACTGCTGCTTTCGACCAATTAATCTCGCTAGGTGCCATAAATACTGGTGCATTCTTGGCAAAAGCATCCCTGTGTGGCTGCAAAGACACAGCCACAAAAGGTTGGATCATAAACTCCACAAGGGGATTCTTTGTTAGAGTGTATGTATGTTTCTTATTTTTTTTTATTTTGCATGTGAGCTGCATCAAAATTGAACCCAGTCTTGCAAATCTCTTGTTGGCCTTTGCCAAGCACTAGCACTTTGCTGCCATGGTAACTGTAATTAAACTGATAAGAGTGGGGAAATGTCAGTATCTCTGAGCCTTGCAGCTGCATTGGAGAAAAAGGGAATCAAATTGGTTCCCAGCTCCATTGCTCAAAAAGGGGAGGGTGGTGGAAGGACAAGGAGGGGGGTTGGGAGTTGAAGGGGCAGAACAGAGTTAAGCAGCTCTAGTGCCAGATATTTGGGGACATCTATTTGCATTGTTTTCCCTTAGGGGGCTGCAGCCTGTAGGGGTGCTCTGGGCCAGTGAACAGAGAGAAACAAGCTTTTAGGCCCAATCCAGTTTTCCAATCTGGGTTGGGGGTAGTGACTGGGAGTGGGATGAAGATGGGCAGGAGGAGAGAAAATCTTTTGTTTGGCACTCTTGGCAATCGAAAGGCTGTGTTGGCCAAATTCTTTTAATCTATGTCATTGCTCCCAGCTGCGAAACCTGCAGTCCCAATTTTAGCATCCTCTCTTCCAAAAGCCCTTCGTGACAGAGTCCCTTCTCCTTTTCCCAAATTGTCCTCTGTAAATCTTCTGAAAGGGAAAGAATGTTTCCCATTCATTCTGTGTGATCAGTCCAAATAATACATTGGTGTAAAAAAAAAAAGAAAGAAGGAAAGAAAGAAAAAACACACTGTGCCTAAGTGCTGCGTGCTGCACATCTCTCATTATTGTGATTATTTTTTAAGCCCCTGTGTGTTGTGGAGTTGTGGTTACTTTGTTGTGTTAACTACTGAAGCTAAGACTGTGCGGATGAATGGCACAGAACAAGGGAACATAATGGATGCAATCAACCGTCAGGCCTTCTCACAATGCAATCCAGGCAATTAAAAGCTCACCAGAGTTTAAATGAAACGGTTCTACTTATTCCTGCACAGCACACTGCACAGGCTATTATTTATGTCTTTTTTTAAAATTATGATTTCCCTTAAACTGTCAAATAACTCAGAATGGCAGGGTCTCAGAGGCAATAAGAATTTCTCTCAGAACAATTTGCATGCCAATCTAAAACTAGTTATGAGTGCTGATGGGCTAGGAGCAACTTGTGAAGTGTCTCTTAGCCACGAACACATAACTCTCCCCAGACGCACTGTCTTGGATCAAGAGCAGAGACTGCTCAGTGCTTTCTGCTTTTTTTAGGTGCCTGGCACTGTGGTGACTACCAAGTGATTGTTTTCCTACATTTTTTAAATGCATAGAATGGAACAAATTCCATTTGCAAGAGAAAAATGGGTAGTGTTCTTTAAGAGAAGATATGAGGATGGACTAGAAAACATCAAACTTCTTTTATGCACAAGGCCAAAGAGAATGAAAGAGTTTCAGCTATTAATTGGCCTCTGGGTGCTACATTAAAACGTCAACACAACAAAAACTTTTTGTGAAGACAAGCAGTATAATATTCCTTGTGCCAAATGTTTGTTTCTGCTGTCTTGGTTACAATTTATTTTGAATAAAGATAGCTGACCCTTTACACTTAATAATAATGTCACGGATATTGGAAATAATAGAGCTTAGTTTCCTAAGGATTCCTTTTTCATCTTTTAGGTTTGTGATGTAAAAAACACAGACTCCAAATCAGATAATTATGGCAGTTACCTTTAGCACACCTCTGAATGCTCTCAGTCATGAAATCCGGACTTTCTTGGTAAATCAGAATCCCCATTCTCCCCCTAGGTATATGACTAAGAGGCACCTGGTCCTGTTGTGCAGTGTAATTAATGGGACTCATTCCTTGTGGGACCTTGCTAGCAAAGGATAACTAGTTCTGATCAAAGAAACTTCATTTGTTAGAAGTTCTAGAGAGTGAGATTTAGCAGAGCTATCAAGGGTTATGATTAATCTACACTAGGCCCTTAGCTCCTTCAAAGAAAGGGAGCAGAAAGCAGGCTACAGGGTAGCACCTGCTCTTCTGCACAAATCTGCTGCTGCTCCACAGCTCAGAGCACCACAGCCCGTCAGACACACAGAGCAGCCAAGCTGCTTTCGTCCCTGCATTCCCTCCTCTGTCGCTCCACCACACAAGTTATTCTCGAATGGAGAGCTCAAGAAAGTACGAATGTTACGTGTAGTTCATGTGCCATAGGCAGCTGGGAAACTCATTCGGCTGTGGGCATGCATTCATTCCTCTTATCCAAGGTGATTTTCTTTTACAGGCAGAGGAAGTGATGAGGGCTGAACCCTTCATCACACTGTATCAGACGGAAGGAGAGCGTTTACCTATCTTGAGGAGAAATGAATCATAAATGCTTCATTTTCCCTTCTGAGACTCTCTTAAATTCATTCGCATTTGGTGTTTCCTATCTTTGTCTATCTAAGTTTAAAACTTTATGCCTAGGAGAGGAAGCGGCCTTAAGGGGTGGTCTGCGGATTGCAGGTAGACCACCTGGTGCCGTCCGTGCCCATGGCGCCACTGTCATTCAGCTTTCAAGGGGCCCCTTCGATTCTCTGCCTCTCTGTATTATAATTTGTAATACAAGGGAATCAATGATGTCTGCAGTATTTTATAGTAACTCAAATCCATCATTTGACAGCAATGAAGCTTTGCATAGCTGGCCAGCTTTTCCCTCTTTTTAAAGGCCGAGTGTTTGACACTTGGGGAACAATAAAGAAAAACTCAAAAATGAAGACTCAATTAATTGAAAATATTTCAGTCAAGTTGTAAAACCCATAGAAGTCAGCGACCTTCCTTGTTTATAAAGAACATTCATCATTGAAATATAGAAGCATCCCCATATTTAATATGGTATATGTATACTTTCTATACATATTTGTTTATGGATGACTGTGTAATTTTGTATATTTGTAGACTTTGTCACCTATTGTTTCTTCTTTCCCTTATAAATTAGGTGTATACTTGTGGCTATCAATTACGTAATGCTATACTGGTTTTCTGTTAGAGTGTATATTATATAATCAAGCGATGAGTCTTCAATATATGCAGTGACTAATGTATATGAAAATAAACACATCTCGTTATTTTTACACAATGAGCACTTTGAAATACCAAGGACACACAGGCAGGTATTTAGATGAAAGCAAGCACTAGGGATTGATAGGTTTCAGGTGTACTTATCTACAAATATCTGTACCATAGAGTAAGGTTCTGCACGTCCCACACAAGCACATACTTCCTCCATCACACACATGTTAAATGAATTGTTTCTACAGCTAAGCACAGCGCAGTCTTTGCACCCATCAGGTCAGTCAAGTGTAAGCTAGTCTCATTTGTCTGCTTCTCTAGATTGCCATCTATTCACTCACATGTTCTTCCTGGGGACACCATTCTCTGTGGAGAATGGAACACTATGGTAATGACTGAAGGATATCTCACCTCCCATATCCAATGACAAGGTCCAACATACAACACCGGTTCATCACTGTTGCTGCTTCATGTGAATGAGTCATCAAGGTTTTCCTATGGATTTTTGCAAAGTTCAAGGCATCTTTCCAAAATGTTGTTTGGTTGGAATATAGCTCTCAGGAAGGAAGGGAGGAAGGAAGTAAGAGAGGAAGGAAGGAAGGAAGGAAGGGAGGGAGGGAGGAAGGGAGAGAAGGAGGAAGAAAGGAAGGAAGGAAGGAGTGCAGAGGCAGTGTTAACTATTCTACCTGTTTGCCTTTCCTTCTGTCTTGGATTCTCAGCTCTCCTTTCTTTCCCTCAGGCATACAAATGCTCTCAGTTCAGCCAGACACCAAGCCGAAAGGTTGTGCTGGCTGCAACCGCAAAATCAAGGATCGGTACCTCCTAAAGGCGCTGGACAAATACTGGCATGAGGACTGCCTGAAGTGTGCCTGCTGTGACTGTCGTTTGGGAGAGGTGGGCTCCACCCTGTACACTAAAGCCAACCTTATCCTCTGTCGCCGAGACTACCTGAGGTAGGGATTGTCTCTGCATACCAGTGATGGCTGGATGCCTTTTAGAATGTATTTGTAAGTGTATTTTTGGCTTGTTTATTTGATTTCCTTAACTACCAACTGATGTTCTTGAAAGATGTTACCCTGCCAGCCTTCAGAATGTTGGCCTGTGTCCCACGAACTTCTGCTTAAGGGATAGCTAACACAAATACCTAGTGTCTTAATTTGGCTGGCCTGACCCAGTCACTCATCATTTGCATTGAAAATGGCATCTAGGGCCGAGGATGCACCTAGATGGCATCCACGTTGCTTCTTTCGTTAAAGCATAAGAGAGAGATGAAACTGGTTGAGTCTGGCAAAGAGAAATGCATCTGTTGTTTAGTTGAACATTTTAGCTCTGTAGTTCAACTTTAGTGGTACTGAATCATCTGGCTATTCGGCTAACTTTTCTGTTTCACATACATTAAAGGAAGTCAGTTTTAAATTCTTGACTTGTATTCAGTAGTTATATTAGTGCAACGCTTTGGTGCTTTGACACAAGTATACCTGTGTTTCCCACCCCATGATATTTGAAGTTATTGCTTCAATACTGAGTGGCCTCAGAGTCTCTTGTAGTTTTATGGAGAATGAAAATTAAAGACCTCAGTGTTGATGGGAACCAGTGTTCACCCTACAAAGTACAAAAATCTGAACAGTCTCAAGGGAGCATGGGTATCCATGGTTATGGCGGCCTGAAGTTAGTTCAACATATTTTCCCTGCTTCCAGTCAACACAGAAATGCTACTGAAGGGAAAGTGTTTTCTTTTCAGAGGACTTTGTGACTTGACTTAGCTGCAAATTACTTATCTTCACTAAGTTGGATCTATCAAATTAGAGAAATGATATATGGCATCATTGGGGTTTTCATATTTGATACAATTAATCATTTTTTCTAGTCTGACATTAAGCTATTTATTTGAATCGTTTTCTTTATGACACAAAATTTATCAATCAGTAGTAATTCCTTAACCAGCCACCCTGGCCATTCTGGGAGGTAGTTCTTAAGAAATTTGATTCGTCTTTTCTCAGTCTATAATTCGGTTATTTAAAGTCAGATTTTTATCCTAATACATATATATCATTTGATTAATGGGAGTTGCATAGGGGCGAATCCAGTGTGGTTTCTTATACTCTGCTCTGGCCCTAGTAGCACTGCTTCTGGCGTATGCTCACAGCCTCCTGGCTAATTATAAGTACTTGTTACCACTTCCCCGTGTCCCCAGAGCTCAGAAGCACACAAGGTGCCAACAATGGGAAGTGACTCTCAGGAGCCAGGATTTCCCTCATTATGGTGGCAAAACTAATCAGAGTTAACTTACAACACAAATTCTTTCAGAACTCTGCCGTCTTTGAACTTTTCTTCTTTGAAATAAAAATGTCTCCTGCGCTCATGGTGAATGAGTGCCTCATTTCCAGATAAAGCGTTTGTGTTTGCTTTTCATGATCTGACGCGTTGCTCTCCAGGTTCGCTTTGTCTGTGCTAACTGATACCCATAGCTTTTTGACTCCCTTTGACTTATGTTTATGCACAATTTCAGTATATCAAGTGGATTTGGGTTGCAGTGGCAAACAAGGAGTTTATACATTTTGAGATGGAGTAGGCATTTTAGTAAGTGAAAAAGAGAAACATTAAGGAAAGTGTAAAGAATGTTGTTTGAACGCTTGGGATATTTCTGAATTAGAAATGCCTGTTTCACAGGTAAAATAGTTATGCATTTTCAATGTATTGACAACAGAGAGAGTAACCTTAGATTTGTTTTGTTTTATTCTTCCTTATGATAGCAAATAGTGTTAACCTAACATTTGATCATCTCAACTGTTTCATCCAAGAGAATTTATCAAAATGGTTTCTGTACCTGAAGTCTTCATCTTTTTTAAAAAAATCAAATACATGTTACCTTTTATAATAATGCTTTTTATTTCTGCTAGGCTTTCATTTTAATGCCAGTTAACTTAGTATACATATGTCTTACTCTTTCAAATATGGTCCTGATCACCAATATATTCATTTCTCAGAGAACAATTTCCTCTTAAATTGGTCATTACCACGTTAATGACCAGTTGTTACATTAACAGCCTAAGGATTGTTAACATCTCAGACTAGGTTGTTAACAGCGAGCTTATTTCTTATTTAAGCTGAAGGTCTGCTGTGTAATGTGACATGGGCAATTTCATCAACACAGAAAGTGTCAAAGTGACATGGAGAACTGGTATGCACATGAAATGCTATGTTAGAAGTATAGAATATGCCACAGTTGTGGTATGTTTTACGTGAAAAGCATAGGTCTCAATGATACTGTATAGATGTGCCTCTAAGAAATTTAAGTAATTGGATCCTCTATTTTAAATCAAATTTATTCATAGATCAAAGACTTTGATTGGATACAACCCATTTACAAACATTTATTAGATACCTACTGTGTGGGAGGTAGAATTGGAAACAATGGCTGAAATTAAGAATAAGCAGAAAATATCATTGAGTTAATGAGGTTTTGAACTCTAGCCATTGCTTTCAAACTTGCTTAAGGAAATATGTACAAAGAAGGTCCATGCATAATCAAAGTTTCAGAATTAAGACTCCCTGGCTATTGAGACAGTTTATTTTATTGTAAAAATATTTTTAACATAATCAGTGAACAAATGCTCTACTGTGTTAATTTTGCTGAACCTCAAAACTCATTTTTCTCATTTCCCTCTTTGTTCAATATATACATTATTTTATTTTTCATGCCAATATTTAACCACTTACATTCTGTTTCAAAATAATTGCCTTTTTTGAACTTTGGATCTTATACATTGTTATAGTAACAAAGTAAAAGCCACAAATAAGCTATGGATTTGAATTGTCCCTCTGAGTCACTAGTAACCTAAGAAAATATCAACGGCTTATAAATTATTGGTTATTGGTATTTTCCCACACTAAATCATGGTTTGTGACTGGAGAAGAGGGAGATACTCTTGCCAACTATAAAGAAGGAAAGCAAAACAAAAACCAAAAAAGCCAAACAAACAGTTCATTCTAAGTTATGGGTTTTCGAAAGCTTGACACTTACTCTGGGTGACTGGGATAATGTAACCTAATGAAACCATGCAAGTCCTTTGATTAGTGATGTGAGGTACTGAATAATAGGAAAATATACCAACTTAGCAGGAAACTGTCTGAAGGCATAGCCATCGTTATTGTGATACACATGTCTTTCTTCAAGATTTTTTTTTTGCCTAGTCCAGCTTTGGAGCCCAGAGTGAGGCTGCTCACTTTCCTAAACTGGCTGTCATTGTGGTTTATCACTTGATCTATTAGTTTGCTGTGAATATAAGATGTATATATCCAAGGACAAAACATGCACCCATTTGCAGGACTGTTTTCTCTCCTCTGGAACTTTCTCCATGTAGAAAGAAAAAGAATGATTGATATAAAAACTCTGCAGTCTATTTACTGCTTAACAGTTCTGTGTCAAAACCCAGGAGTGAGTTTGTTAATGGCCACCACATTCATACATCCTTTCAAAGATTTTAAGGTAAATTCTTGACAAAATAGACAAAAAGCTTTTCTAGACTCTAAATTTGAGTTTAAAATTGATCATAACTAAGAATAGACCATTGTTGAGTTAAAATAGCACCATTTAGCAGGCAGACTTAAGAGACCCTAGTTGCTGCTCTCACTCCTGCTTCATTTTGGAAAATGTGGATAGCCAGGTTTTACCAGAGTTTTAGAATTGAGACTTTGTGTAAACATCAAGTAGTCAGAAGTGGTAGAAACACCCCAGTTCTTTATGTTTCAACATAGAGGCAAAAAAGAATATCAGGTCTTACTATTCCATCTTTGGGGGAAGTTTTGACTTTTACTGTTTGTGTAAGCTTGCAAATTCGTACGGTGTGTTCTAAGCATTAATTTGACACAGCCTATATCTCATATCTCTTTGAATGATGTCTTGCCAGAGAGTTGATTCAAAGATGTTTGCTCTGGTGTCGGCCATGAAAGAAAGCTGCTTATGGCTGTTTCTACATGAGAAACTGTAAAATGTCTTGTATAAAATTTAATGCAATTTGCTGTTTTTATATGTGAGCGTGATTTGTTTAAAATGAAACTACTGGGAAAGGGTGATGGTTTACTTCCCACCAAAGTTGCCAATTAACTAAAATGATTGAAGCTTGCTCTCTGACTGCAAATTTTATATGCTTTAATATAATAGTATAACTCCTAAAGAGAAAATTAAAATAAAATGCTGCACAGAGCATCAATCCAGCTATAACTTTATTTCACACTGATCAAACCTCGTACTTCTAAATTTTTATGTAAGATTAAGTTTCTATTGATTTTATAATTGTAGCCTTAAATGTAAATAGGAATGTGTTAGTAATACTGTTTCATCTGGACAGGATGAAGCACGGCTTCTGTCTTAATGTGGAATAAAGTATTCATTCTTTCCCCCCTCACTTTCACCTTCTGAATGTGAAGCAGATGGAAATATTTGCCTTAGAAAGCAGTACATTATTGTTTTTTAAATAACTTTTTATCACCTGAATTTTAAAGTAAAAGAAATTTCTATCTAGATTGAGGCACCTTATGAGTAAGCTTTCCTCTACAAGCGTCATTTCATGATTTGAGGCATTTTACTGCAGTCTTAGTTTTATAATATATGAATGTCTTAGTTGATCTTAGTATAATAAAATATTTTGATGCATGAGCCTACTTGATGCCATGGTCTGTTGAAAAATTCTGCTACAACCTTTACAAATTATTTTAAATTACTTGCAGCTTTACAAAGAATTGTAACTTTCCCATTTTTGCTTTTATCACAGGGAAGTATTATTGAATTATAGCTTAAACTGCAGAATGTGCATAGAAGAATATAATGAAGAGATGATAATTTCTTTTGATGCAACACTTTAGTGAAATGTTCCTTGTCTGGGAAAATATTTGGTGGTTCATAGCAGACTTTCTGAGGGACAACCACGCAGAAACTATGCCCATTAAAATA